TCTCTTCTCCCAAAAGCTAACGTGTAGCATTAGCTTGAAATGACAAATCGAGCCAAACAGGATGTTGTTGTGTGAAAACTAAGTGATTTATAGAGTTTGAGACGGCCATTAAACGTCCACTGGAAATATGTAGAAAAGTGAGACTTTAAGCTGCTTCCATTCACTCCACTTCAGAAATTAGGGACAACAGGAGAGAAATCTGAAGCTTCTGTTAAATACATTTCATTTTCCTTTTTAGTAAAATATTTACTATTGTGCTACAGAAATACAACTATGGTTTACTTTTCTCCCTGCAAAACACAAAATCTTACCAAGTTTTGATCTAGTTTCTTGTGCTAATATATAGTACACTTGAAATAAAATAAAACTGACTTACAAGCAACTATTCAGAAAGACATAACTCCTTAGTATTGATGAAAAAGTTCTACTTTTATTGGCAGATTATTCCACTTACAACAAAACATTTTCCTACATTACATACAGTATAAATATATAAAACTTTTTTATAGATATTTTGCTGAAAAGTTACTTGTAAGTTAGTTCTGTCATATTTCAAATGTACTAAGAGATTTTCACTAGAAACTAGATCAAAATACTTAGTAAGATTTTTTGTTTTTACATTGCTATAATAAACTTGCTTTGTAATTTTCCTCTTTGTTCATGTTTTTTGCTTCCTGTCTAGTGAGAAATGCTCGCCTCCAGCTGAGTTTCCATTACCGGAATCGTCCAATCAGAGCGAGCCAGGTCTGATTAAGGAAACCTTTAACATGTCATTCAGGCAGGCGTAGATTTATCAGCCAGAATCAGGAACAGGATGGCATTTAGCTCCCAGCTTCCAGTCCTCAAAGATAAGATGGAGTAATTACTGGATCCAGCACCTGCAGTGCCAGCAGAGCTGCAGTAAGAAGCAGGCTGATGCTGACACATTCACACATTCAGGGCATTTCAAAGGTTTTCACACCCATTGTTACTATTGCAAACGTCAAGGTATTTAAATTTTTATGCAATAAACCAACACAAAGTTGGCATAATTTTAAAACTATTTCAATGTATTAGGTTTTATTATGAAAATAATCTGAAAAGAGTACCTGGCATCTGTTTTAGCTCCACCAAGTCAAATTTTCACTACCATTCCCTTAATATATATAGTTTTTACCAGCTTCCACATCAAGAAAATTTAGAGCATTACCACAGCCTGATCACTTGTTTCAGGGCTGGACTTTGACTGGGCCAAAGGAGGTCTGTTTTCCGTCTTTACTCGTTTACGGATTCTAACCGGATTTTCTGTAGGACTGTTCAACATGCTTTTGATATATATTGAATAGCATCCAGATGTTTTCATAAATCTTTTTCTTTTGAAAAATTCTATCAGCTGGATTTGTGACTACAGGTGGAAATTGGCACTTAGAGCAGTAACCTGGAAAAGTGGTTAATACGGTCCGTTTTAAATAAAATAGATCATAAATCTGTACTTAGCTCCACTCATCTTCCTGCTGACGAAAAGCCCCCCAACAGCATGATGATCCCACCACCATTTTCCACCATATGGATCTTAGTTTTCCTCCACACATACTGTTGACTGCAGGTAAAAGAAAGTTCTGGTAAAAAAAGACCAGAACACCTTAATCTTTCACGTTTGTTGTGCTCTCTACATGCTTTGAGGCAGCTTACAATGGTGTCTTCTTGTGGCTTTCGTTCAATTATTTATCTCCTTAAAAAGACTTATTTTAAAACATTACACTAACTCACATGTTCACAATATACAGCTCAAGTTTATTTCACATTAGAAATACATTCCAGTTTTGTTCTTGGCATAAACATGAAGTAAAACTGAGTCATGATGAGCTTCAACAAATAACACGTCAACAAATAACACGTCAGTGATTTCACACGGAGAAGGCAATGATCTGGTGCAATTCAATGCACTGAATCATCGGGGCCCTAACCCAGTAAAGCTCATGATTCAGTACAGCTTATTGAATCATGTTTTAGTCTAAAATAACTATTTTATTCTAATTTGATAAACTAGGATGAAGCAAAGCTATGATTTGAGATTGAATGAGAAAAACTTTCACAAGAAGGAATTGCATCCTAATTCTGTATGTTTAATGTCCAGGTTGAGGGAACATCTGTCATCTTCCAGTTCTACAGAGTCCTGCTAACGATTTAATTATGTGGTAAGGGTGTTAAAAAAGTGCTTTAGCTGAAGGACTGGAGTTTCATATCCCTAATCGAGATTTAATTTTTAAAAAACTCACTATGTCCAATAACCAAAAAAGTTAGATTTTTTTATGCACATCAGTAAATCCATGCCACTTTAATAAAATCCCCACAGCCAGTGGTTTTGCTTCTTTCTAAAATGTTAAAGCAACATTTTTGAGTTTTTTTTCTTACCTTTTAAACAGTCTCACCTGCTGCTTCGAACACATTTAAGGTGATTTTTTTTAGTCATGAGACAGCAGAGCACAATGGTTCCTGCCCTTCATGAATTCTCATGTGAGAATTTAAATATAAGATTTTGCTGAATCCTTGACCACAAACGGAACAACTAAAGGCTTTTTCTCCGCTGTGAACTCTTGTGTGGTTCACAAAGTCCTGTTTCCTCCTAAAAGCTGCTGCACAGACAGAGCAGTTGAAAGGTTTTTCTCCTGTGTGGATTCTCGTGTGCTCCATCAGAGCGTTCTTCCATTTAAAAGCAGACTTGCACACGGCGCAGGTGTAGGGTTTCTCCCCCGTGTGACTCCTCATATGACGGTTCAAACCCGCGTTGTGTCGATAACTCTGACTGCAGATGGAGCAGATGAAAGGTTTCTCACCCGTGTGGGTTCTCATGTGCTGCTTTAGAGTATATTTTCTTTTGAAGAATGCATCACACAGGGTGCAGCCGTAGGGTCTCTCTCCCGTATGAATTCTCATGTGTTCCACATAGGAATTCTTCCATGTGAACGTTGCGTTACAGACGGCACAGCTGAAGGGTTTTTCCCCAGTGTGGATCCTCGTGTGCTATAGGAAAGTGTTTTTCCATCTAAAGGTGGCCTTACAGAAGGAGCAGGTGTACGGTTTTTCCCCTGTGTGGCTCCTCATGTGGCGGCTCAGTCCCACACTGTGTCGGTAGCTTTGGCCACAGATGGAACAGCTGAATGGTTTCTCGCCTGTGTGGGTTCTCAGGTGTTGGACTAAAGTATACTTTCTTTTAAAAGTTGCATCACAAAAAGAGCAGCTGAAGGGTCTCCCTCCTGTGTGGACTTTTCTGTGTCTCAAAAGACGTTCCCTGCGGCTGAACGCTTTCCCGCAATCAGTGCAGGTGTGTAGTTTATACTCGATGTCACAGATTATATCACCTGATTTTAAACTTGGCTGTGGTTCACCGCTCTCCTCCCAGTTTCCATCGCTGACATCCGTCTCTGAAGAACCAGAACTTTTTTCTTCATGATCTGATTCTGAACATTCTTCTGGTTCTGGTCCCATAAAGTCTCCATTCTCTTCAGTCTGGGTTTGATGAAACTTTGTAGACTGAGATTTCTCTTCATCTTCACTCTTGATGGTATTCAATTTGAACTCAATAATCTCAGCTTCCTCCTGCTCTTCTTTAATCTGTGGGTGGTTCTGGTCATCCTGGTCCAGTTTGGGACTGCGGGCCTGCTCCTCTTTGATTACTTTCAGCCGCTGGACGTCTGCAGGAAACAAAACAGATCACAAAACCGCCTTAGCTTTAAATATATACACCTGGTCTAAATACAACTTATTTAACACTCACTGTGGTACCAAGCAACAAAATGAGAAAAGCACATATTGAATACATCTAGAACAGAAGTGAACATAAAATAAATGTAAACATCCTGAATTGAAACTGGATCTTTTTTTTATGATTGTGCCTTACTAAAGTATTCACATTTTATTCCATCCAGCCAATCAATGTATTTATTTGGAATCATATAAACAGATATTTCTTTTTTCCTTTCTTGCAATAAGAGAATTGGAGGGAAATTTCTCAATGTGCAAAGCTCGTAGAGCTAAACACAAACAGATTTGAAATTGTATTTTTTTTTATTTTGACAACAATGTAAATTACCTGCCATGAATGCACTGCTTTCTGTTGGTTTATTGATTAAAAATCAACCAATGTTAGAGATTGTCAGCTGAAAAACTGGAAAAGTTAAAGACACAAATAATTTTGGACGGCAGTGCATGTGTACAAAGTTATATTTTTGCCAATTGCGCCCATATTAGATATCTGAATGATTCATTATCACATTTATGTTAAATTCCCATTTTTAATACACAGATATGTTTAATGTTTCTTCTGAAAACAAACATAAATAAAAACTCAAGTTCATGCCACTACCTACCATATTATGTTCATAAATAATATCCAACCTGAAAGTGATTTAACTTCAATGAAAAAAACAAACAGATTACCGTTAGTTTCGGTTGATTCATCGGAGGGTTTTAATCTCAGATCCTCCAGCGATGACATTTTAGCTGCTACTTCACACACAAACACAGCCAGCTCCCCGTCAATCTGTCTGCTTATTTATCTTCATCATCCTGACTGCTTCAAGCTAACACATTGTCAAGCTAACGTCGGCAGCTAAGCAGCCTAACTGACGCCAAATCAGGCAAAAATATATTTTAAAAACTATTTGAGTAAAACGTGACAATCAAAAAACTATTATACACTTAACTACTTAATTACAACGACTGGATGTTGGGAACACTAACGGCTAATAGAGCAACCGCTTAGAATGAACCACTTCCGTTGATGCACCACGATACATCCTGGTGGCCTTCAAAATAAAAGCCTCAAATCCGCTGACCTATTCAATAAATTTGATTATTTAAAAATCCATCTAGTTCAGAAAGTCCATCACCACGTGAAGAAAATTATATATATTAATTAGACAAAATCACAACAACATTTAATTTCCCCTTTTTACCATTTGAACGTGTGTAGCAGGTTATATCCTGTCGTATGTTCTCCGGGACGAAAGGTGGCAATATGCATCCTAAAGTGGTTTGTGATCCGCCATTAAACACAAACAAGAACCAACGGATGTGACTTCCTGCTAGCAGCAGAATCAATGTAAAATTATTGTTTATTGTTAAATTTGAGCATTTCTGAGTTGATTTAACCATCCTTATATGTTATAAACATGCCGTACAAACTACAGCGCTTCTTACAGTTTTCTCTCAGTTTTAAAACGGCGTTTATTCCCGGAAACAACAGCAGCTTCGGGTATTAGCTTAGCATGTTAGCTGGAACCAAACCAGTCACACAGGGGAAGAGAGAGTCGTTTTGCAGGACAGACTGGAAATCTGATGGAGTTAAAGGGGAAAAAAGTTTCTGCCGTGCTGGTGTGAAAACATCAGAAAACAAAGATGGAGGGACGGACACACAGAGAGCAGATGGACTCTCGGTTTCAAGGTAACAGGCAGAGAGACAATAGTAATAACAATAAACGAGCCTTGTTGCTTCTTTTCTTTACGTTGTTTTTAAGGATTGTTTTCCAAAGCACTAAATGTTGTCATTGTACGATTTTTGTTTGCATTTTTCTGTTGCTGTAGCCCATCCTTTTCAAGGCTTGACATGTTATGCAGTTAAAGATTATATTTTTAATTCTGGCGTTGCTGCAGTGTGATTGAATAATTCTCTGTTTGTGCCACTCTAGATTCCTTCTTATTTTTCTCCATACTTAATTTGTTCAAATCATGAAACTAATGTCGAGTTTTTAATGATTTCTCAGAGGAAAAAAGCTGTACCCTTAAATTGTTGACATGTAGTATTTGTTTTAATTCAGCTACATGGGAAGAGTTTCTAGCGTGAATCACCTGCTAAGGTCTGTCTACAAAATGTTGATAAAAGTTAAGGTGAAAAGTATTGTAGCTTCATTTCATTCCCCTTTAGCAACATTAAAATGTTTAAATGATAACAACATTGAGTATGTAGGTTAAAAATTGAAACTACTTTGCTCTTTTTAAAACTTAAATTCTGAGCTAATTTTTGTTAAATTTTGTTTTGTTTTGTTTTGTTTAGGTTTATTGTGTAGGTTTATACACAGAATTAAGACTTTATGCATGTTTGACCTCATCTTTTCATGCAGACTTGTCCAGGATGACGTGCAGGATATAAAATCCCTACACTGGTTGAGGCGTTGACACCAAAACTGGAAAATGTTCTTGGACATATAAGATGGAAATACCACAGGAAAAATCATGTCACTGGAAACGCAGCCTGTGCTCTTCATATGACACTTCAGATGAGAGCCGTGCACTTTAACCTGTTTGTGTTTCCTGCAGACATCCAGCAGCTGATGCGGACGAAAGAGGAACTTCCTGCTGAGGAAGAGAACTGGACTCCCTCACTGGACCAGAACCAGAACCGCCCTGAAATTAAAGAGGAACAGGAAGAGACAAAGATTATAGAGTTCATATTCAACCCTGTCCCTGTAAAGAGCGAGGATGAGGAGGAGAAACCTCATCTCTCAAAGTTTCCTGACTGTCAGACTGAGGAAAACAGAAACTCACTAGAAACAGATGAATGTTTAGAATCAGATGATAAAGATAAAACTTCAGGTTCTTCAGAAACAGATGTCAGTGATGGAAACTGGGAGGAGAGCGATAGAACTAAGCCAGGATTGGACCCTGTTATTAATACATTATCTGTCAATGATATGGTGTATGACACAGGTAAGAAGCTACACAGCTGCCCTGAATGTGGTAAAACTTTTAGCCAAAAGTCAGATGTTTTGAGGCACAGCAGAATCCACACAGGAGAGAAACCTTTCATTTGCTCCATCTGCAACGCAGCTTTTTCTTGGAAGCATGTCTTGGCTCAACACATGAGAACGCACAGTGGAGAAAAACCCTTCAGCTGCTCCATCTGTAGTCAGCGGTTTGGAAGGAAGATACATGTCACCTCTCACATGAGATGTCATACTACAGAAAAACCTTTCACTTGCTCCATTTGTGGTCAAAAGTTCAGCCGGAGGGAAAGTGTGACGCGGCACATGAGACGTCACACTGAAGAAAAACCTTTCAGCTGCTCTGTTTGTGGTCAAGAGTTTGGCAGGAAGGAAAGTCTGACCTATCACATGACTCATCACACTGAAGAAAAACCGTACAGCTGCTCCGTCTGTAACAAAGCTTTTACTTTGAAAATAACTTTAACGGAGCACACGAGAATCCATTCAGAGGAAAGACCATTCACCTGTTCTGTCTGTGGTGCAGCTTTTAAAAGGAAACATACTTTAGCAGAACACACAAAAACCCACACTGGAGAGAGACCTTACAGTTGCTCTGTTTGTGGACGAAGTTTTGTTCAACTTATCAGTTTAACTCGTCATATGAGGGGTCACACGGGAGAAAAACCTTATAGCTGCTCCACCTGCAACAAGACGTTCAAATGGAAACAAACTTTTCTGACGCACACAAAACTACACTGCGGTGAATAATTTTCATCCTGTGAACAGACTCTTACTAAATATCCACGAAGGTTAGACAAAGTCTGGTCATGTTTTCAGTGGCAGGTGAGCTCACATTCAATCTGCTCTGTTTAAATATAATATGGAAATACCACAGGAAAAATCATGTCATTTTTAACAAAAGAACAGACAAAAAATAAACAAATTAAAACTTATCCATGTGTCCCAGTCAATTAAGTTTGGTGAGTATTTATATATGTATTTATTTTAATTGAAATTGTAATACATAATTAAAAAACACATTATTGTATCAATTTTTTACCTACCCAACTGTTAAATGTTTGTGTAACTAAAGTTTGTTTTTATTTTGAGTTAAAATCATACATGTTTGTTGTAGACTTTAATTATTGTACATTTCTCGCTTCATTCTGAAATTATTTAAGCATTCATCATTGATTCCTAAAGCAAAACACCAGAATCTAATTAATACTCCTGCCCAACCCCTTAACTGCAGACCAATCACATTATCTGTAGCAGTGATAGCCTCGCCCTCTGAGTTTGACAGTTTCATGCAAAATTAATACATGATGATTCCTGTTTAATTGCAGGTTGTTTTTGTCCTAAAATAAAAGAGTTGGAAGTTTGTAATTAAATAATATTTTCAGCATATTTAAATTGTCCACTTTTAAAATGTTCCCTTTCATTACAACTACATGGTAGTAAAGGCACCGTAGGTTTTAGAAATGCATTAAAAGTAAACGATTGAAAACCGACTTGTTTTAGATGCGCTTAGTCATTTTGGTGAGGATTATTTATTTGATTTGTCATCTGAAATAAACTCAACTGCATCTCTGATCTCTGTATGTGTGACTTTTTTTATATGTCTGCCTTGTGTGTTTCTCTGAGACTGTTTAATAGTCAAAGTACACATACACAAGTAAATCCACACCGGATTTCCATCTGAAAATACAATTATGTAGGTATTCTTAAAGACTTTGTGGTACAGATGATGAAAAATATTAACAAGATTATTAAACCAATATATAAATCTTAACATACCACAGGTAAAGCTTTCAATGTTTTCAACAAAAATAAAGCTCTCCAAGGATGACGATGGATTTAGTTTGGTTATTTGACCACTAGATGGCAGTATAACTCCATCTAGAAAACAACTGGCACGTTGCTGTCTCCCAAGCATATTTTTGAGATATTTCCAGTCAAAATATAAGTTAAATAATAACACAACTATATATTTTAAGCATTCCAAGAATTAATTTCCACCCAAATATAAAGTGGTTCTGGTGTTCTTTCACTCAGTATGAACTTCAAATGTAATTTATTTAAAATCATTTTGAATATTGTGATTAAATAATTTCCTTTTTATGTGTAGAATTGTAGCCTAATGTTAAATGTACCAGTACAGACAATAAAGCGCTTTTTACAGATTTCGTCGGGCGGGATACAGATCGAGCTTTTATTTTGAAGGCTAATATGACCCGCTCGCTACCGGAAGTTATTGTCTCCTAGCAGCAGTTGCTAGTGAGCGAAAAAAAGTATTGTTTCCCTTCCCCAGTTTGCTTTTTCATGTGCTGTCAACCTTTGATGGTCTTTTAAACATGCTTTGAAAACCACAGGGGATTTTTATCGTCTTTGAGGAGTAAATATTTTTTGTTGTTTGTATTGGTTTCCTCTCGGGAACAACGGGAGCTCTGAGTATTAGCATCTTCCGTTAGCTGGAAACAGACAGTCAGCGATTCAGAGACGCTTTGATCGAGAACAGACCGTTTCTGATGGAGTGTAAGGAGAGAGGTTTCTGCTGTGACCAGGTGAAAACCTAAAAAATGAAGCGAAACAATGGAGGAACCGACACTCAGTGAGCAGATGGACTCCGACTTTTATGGTAATTAGGCTTTTCTAAAGCTCTATTATTGTGTTGATATTAAGTCAACAAAAAATAAACCCAACTGAAAACATGAGGCAGAAATAAAACGAGACAAACTTGCAGCAATACTTTTCCATTTATACAAATAACGAATATAAAGAACTATTGCTGACCTATACAATAAAATCTTATGTACAAAATTGCTTATCTTAGCAAACATGTTGTTTATAAATCTCTGATGAGGTTAAATGGAGTTGAAATTTTTATTTTTACACTGATTTAGTTTCCTAAAATGTAAAACTATTGCTCTAGTTGGAAAAGCAGATTTTTCTAAGAAGAAAAATGTTACAAACTAAAGCAACTGTATAAAAATATTATAATCCCTTAGTTTCAGCAGGAAAGTTATCGAACAGAAGTACACCAACACAAAATTGCAGGAAATGTTAATCCTAAAATGTCAAGTTTATTAAGACAAAGTATACCTGTATAAATTGTGTACATATGTGTTTAATATAGTAATAATAATACTATAGATACAAGACTACAGACAATAGTTTTAACCAGTTTGGAATCTGTGCCTGTTTTAATAAAAATGCATGTAATTTTCTGTAATGTGTTTATAGTCTGTATGTAAATTTGGTTATGTTCCTATTAAATGATATTTACTAACATAAAGAAATAAGTGCAGCTTGTCACGTTGTTATTTTGGTTTATCAGTCTCCATAATCTGACACTGAAAGCTCAACTGGCCCCAATAGACATTAGAACCGAAATATGGATGGAGAGACATGCAATTTTTTTCTGATTATCGATAAATGAACTAAATTCTATGAGTTTTGTTTGTTTTTTTAATACATTTTCCTATTACTTGTGAAAATACTTGTTGGTTTGAAGTAATTATATGGGTATTGCAGATTTAAAATAGAAATAGGAAGAAAAATGTAGGAATTAAATGGTAAAGGGGCTAACTTGACCCAAGGTCAGCCACAACTAATTTCTCCTGAAAGACTCAAAACCAAAGACAGAAGTAAAAGAAAAGGAAAAATTATACTACAGTGGAAACACACCAAAGAGGACTGATTTGATTTTTAATATGGGAACTGGTTTTAGAAGCTGTGTGTGTTTCCTGCAGACGTCCAGCAGCTGACGGTGGTTAAAGAAGAGCTTCCTCTTGAGGAGGAGGACTGGAGTCCCAGACCAGACCAGGAGGACCAGAAGCCTCCACAGATTAAAGAAGAACAGGAGGAAAATGAGATCACCGAGTTCTTATTTGATCCTGTATCTGTAAAAAATGAAGATGATGAAGAGAAACCTCAGCTCTCAGAGCTTCGTCATGACCAGACGGGGCCGAACAGAGACGATACAGGACCAGAACCAGATGAATGTTTGGAAACTGACGAGGAAGACAAAGCATCGGGTTCTTCAGAGACGGACGTCAGTGATGGGAACTGGGAGGAGAGCAGCGAAGCTGAATCTGGTTCAGACTCTGTGAGAAACAACAAATCTCCTATAGGTGATGGAAGCTGTGAGAGAGATGAGAAGCTTCACATCTGTAGTGAATGTAGTAAAGCATTCAAACGCAGATCATGTTTGGTACGACACAACAGAATCCACACAGGAGAGAAACCCTTCAGCTGTTCCATCTGTAGCAAATCGTTCACATGGAAACGAGGCTTGGTTATACATATGAGAACGCACAGTGGAGAAAAACCTTTCAGCTGCTCGGTCTGTGGTCAGAGGTTCTCGAGAAAGGAGTCTGTGACCTCTCACATGAGATGTCACTCATCAGAAAAACCTTTCAGCTGCTCTGTTTGTGGGAAAAAGTTCAACAGGAAGGAAAATGTTATTCGGCACATGAGATGTCACACTGAAGAAAAGCCGTTCAGTTGCTCCATCTGTGGACAAAAGTTTGGCAGGAAGGAAAGTTTAAGCTATCACATGACGCATCACACTAAAGAGAGACCCTACAGCTGTTCTGTCTGTAACAAAGCTTTTACTCTGAAAGTAACTTTGATGGAACATACAAAATTTCACACAGAGGACAGACCATTCAGCTGCTCTGTCTGTAAAACTGCTTTTAAAAGAAAAGCCTATCTGACAGAGCACCAAAAAATCCACACCGGAGAGAAACCTTTCAGTTGTTCAGTCTGCGGCCGAAGCTTCCGTCAGTCTAACAGCCTGAAGCGCCACATGAGAAGTCACACAGAAGAAAAGCCTTTCAGCTGCCCCATCTGTCACGCAACATTCAAATGGAAAAGTGCTTGTGTAAAACACGTGAAAAATCACACAGGTGAATAACCAGTGAAGTAGAGACGCAGCGCTTTGCAAATGTATTCATACTCATTAAAATTTACTACGTTTTCTAATGCTACAACAACAAACAGCAGGCCGGGATTTTCATTAATCCAACAATAAGTAGTGAATAATGGTGTGGCGGGAGGAGAATGATTGTTTTCAGTATTATTTTATCAGTTATTGCAATCGGTTGATGGTATTCATCGCTACTGTGGGTGGAACAAGCAGTGACTAGGTTTTTATGAAATGTGTAGCAGATGTTGTTTGGATGGATGGACAAAAATGTGAGCGTGGGATGGAGGTTCATTGTTCAGTAAATCTGAATATTATTTAAAAAGTTCATTTCAGTGACTTAACTTTAAGTGGAACACATTATATAAATTTGTTACACACAGAGCGATGTTTTTAAACTTTTATTTCTTAATTAGAATGATTTTTTTTTTACTTTAAACGAATGAAAATGCAGCATTTCAGATTAAAATACTACATTAAACCAACAAAAAACACATGCAGGACAGAAATGTTGGCTTTGTAAAAAATTATGTTTAATTTTGGATTAAAGGCTGTTTTCAAAGCATACTTTAATCTGACAGACGAATCTCATAATAAATAGGCAGTTTTATGGCTGATTACCAATTTTAGTCAAAGCCAATTTTTGTTGTCCGAAAAGTAACTAAATGTAGCAACAAAATTGCTAACTGCGCATGGCTAGCTTTTTGATTCACTGTTGTTGCAGGAATGTAACCAAAAATTTGCAGGACAGCAAAAAACAAGGACTAGAGTTGTAAATGCTTTAAACTGTTGTAATGTTTCAAAGTGTCCCAGTGAAAATTCAGACATAGGGTTAACTGAGAATCTGTGGTGAGAGTTCAAAATTGAGGTTCTCTGTCCAATCATATAGAGATAAGCTTTATTGTTTAACCCAAAAGACTCATTTTTACTTTACATAAAATGCAAGAAAAAACAGAGATTTTTATTGTTTCAAAGTGACAAAAATGTGAAAAATTCAGGGGTGTGAATATTTTTTATGCAAAGTGTAACAATTTGCCCTGTTTGGATTTTGTTGTGCCTCTTTAATTGATGTGTAACATTAATAAACTCTGCTGCATGTCTGATGCCCATGAATGATTTCTGTCTTAAAAATGATTTAATATAAAAAAATACATTTTAGATCAAAATACAGCAATTCATACAACGGCACAGTACAGCAAGTTTAGTTTGCAGTGTTAGAGATGCACATGTTAAAATATCCGCAAATTAAACTTACATTAGAGAGTTTAATAAAAGTGAAACACTACTGGAACAACAAGCGGTGGCATCATTAAAATTTTAAAAATTGTGTTTTTTCTGTGCGAAGATTTTTTGCATGTGATTGTCTACAATAAAAATACAAGTTTGGTGACAGAGAGAACATAGTAAAGTCATCATAGATTGAAAAACCTGATGCAATATAAAGGTAAAGAGTGGATTAAATCTTCATATTTATCGTTTTAATGTTTTATCTTACAGTAACTTATCAATTATCAATATGAAGTAAAATATTTTCTTCCTGATTACTGTCTCCAATAAAGAATAAGTGAGAGAAACGGATATTTAATTTATCCAATTCGCGCTTTTATTTTGAAACGACCTCAGCACAAACGGAAGTTGCTTTCTGCTAGCAGTAACAATGAAGGCT